AGTTATCTTAACTGCTGTTTAACAAAATTAAAAATAGATATACAGAACAAGTTAACTGGTTGATAAGGATACCACTTCTACAATTTATATACACTTGATGAGAATCTTGTTCACATATCAAACTATGGTTAAAAATATTAATACCACAATCCCATACTGCGCCAGCACCGTTGGTGTCTAATGATTAGCCAACTACCAAAATAGGTGGCATTGATATAATGGCTGGACCACCAGTTAACGGCCACAGCAAACTGGGCCTCAACTCGACTCGATTGGGCTCAGCTCAGCTCGACTGAACTCAACTCAACTCAACTCTTTGTCAGGCATTTTCAATTTCGTTAATGACCCAAAAGTGCCGTAAAGCAATTTATTCACGGTCAGGGCAAGAGCCTGAGCTGAGCCCAGCTCACTGACACAAGACAAATAATAGCGCAGCAGGACATTGACAACAACACCCGAGAAACGAGCCAAGAGGAAAATGTGGAAAATGGGAAAAAGACAGACAGTCTACGGCAACTGGTCAGTAATTGACTGCCGTTGCTGTGGCATGTTGGCTGTTGCCTGTTGGCTGTTGCATGTTATTGGCTGTTGTCGGTTCCCTGGCCAAACGCCGATAATGAAGCGCAATTGTTGAACGTTGGCAACAAATTTTTGGAAGCAACAAACAAAGTGCAACTGCAACAAGAAGCGTTCAGTTGGTTTGGGGGGTAATTAATCATATTGCCGTCTCTTGAATGACTTCTTTTATGGGCACTCATAAACCATTGACGGCATACCCCAGGTTATTTTCAACTAATTTAAGGTGTTGCCCCTAGTGCAAGACGTAAATAAATCATTAATTTTTCTTGGAGACTTTTTACGAATGCAGTTTGGTGGAAATGTATTGCTTATACATACGAGATATTTTCTTATTTTTTTTTTTGGACCGCCTGCGGTTTTGTGGGTGTTGACATACGCTTAGGCCCAGGGAAATTCTCCATACTTGAGCCTGTGCTTGGGCAATGAATCATGAGATTAATGAAACGTTAAGGTTTGAGCACTAAATGTCAATCCACAGCAATCTGAAGAAGCCTTCGACTCTGGACACGTCAAACAATTAACTCAGCCCCACCCACTGACAACTCTAGCTCCAGCTAGAGCTCCAGCTCTAACTCCACAGATAACCCAAAGAAAACTCATGCAACTCCAATGCGAGTTGAGTTTTTCCGCCTTTGATATTTGATTTGCCTTTTCCGAGTTGCTTAGGTATCACTATCTGGGACTACTTCGTTTGTGGTCATATTGCGTTTCACTTTTGCTCCACTTTCAGTTTTTGCGTCAATTTGCGTTGGGGGCGTTGTTTGCTAAAGTCAAGTCAAGAAACTGGGTCACTGCTGTTCACTCCTGCCCTGCTCGGGGGCGTATATGTGTCCGCCGCCTGGGTTTGTTGTACTTTCCGGACAACGGAAAAACGAAATAAAAAATCAATAGAGCCAGCTCGTAATTAACTTGCGACTTAAAGTGCATGCACAGTTCCGCTGCGGCTTACTTAGTTGGAGGTGGCTCTGAGTCATTTGGCCAGACAGGAAACCCATTATGAAAACCCATTGTTTGTTGCTGACTCCAAGGCACACTGGGCAAGCAACAGTTGATATACTCGTAGTAATTTGAATGTAAATCTCATAAGGTGATTGTAATCGTAGCCTTAAATATTTATATTAAATTATCTATTGATTTGAAATGGGTGTCTCCTTAATATCGAAGTTGTACTTCTCAACAAATTTATATTTATATTATAAATCTAATTTTTCTTACAAATGAGACACTCATTTTTAGTATCTCTAATTTTGGATCCTCATTTTAGTTTAGTATTTTGTTTGAATTGACTTAAAAGAATGCCTTGAATGCCAGAACAGATTTTGTTCGGTAGGAGAATGAAAGGAGTTATTTTATAAAATAAAATAATCACAATCATCACATATAATAAGTTACTTTATGAAATTTAGAGTGATAAACCTTTTTCAAATATGAAAAAATATTCTAATTCGCTTAACTTTTGCATTTAATATGCAACATATTTAGTAATAAACAATTAAAATAACCTAGGTAAAGAGATAGCAACTATAAATAATAGTTGTGCTTTTCACATTGTTTGCATATAAATCATGGAAATCATACGGAAATCTTATGACTAAGGATTGGAAAAACTCCATTCCATCGGCTTTACTTATTAAAGGGTTTTTTTTTTGTTGTACCCCACTTTGAGGAAAGGAAATCTCATGTTTGTTTGACAACTCATATTGTCTGTCCGGTGGCGGAGTGTTAACCCTTTGCCAGTCAGGACAACCCCATCGCCCACATGCCAACGGGACAAACATTTACCGATGCTTATCGTCCGAACCAATATGTCACCTTGAAGGGAAAACAATTTTTGGCACTGCATATTTGTGTGGTGTCATGCCACAAGTTGTGGCAAGGGTTAAATTAAAAGGTTACGCTGCTTAAAAGCAACCGCAGTACACACACAGAAAGCAAAAAAAAAGGAAGCAAAAAACGGAGCTAACTGGGAAATGCTCAACTCATCAGGGTGGTGCACCCCCTAGAGGACAGTTGAACCCCAAATGCAACATCTGTGACAAATGATCGTCGCTGGCTGATAACGCGGACAGTCAAAAATGTGTGTACAATAATTATGCAAACATTTCGGGCCGCTAATTTGCCGCGTTATCTTAATTTAAATCGCGCAAAAGCGCACTGAACATATTTAATTGTCGTGACATGACAATAAGCGACCTGGAAATTAGGGTCCTCAACTGACCCGCGGCCAAGTTGTTTAAGTTAGGGTTAAGAGCACCACTTTCCTCACTCACCTTTTGCTTTTTCGCGTGTTGCTTGATTTTCGGCAGCGATAAGTGAATCGGAAATTGTAGGGTATGCAAATGTTACCCAATGCCCAGCTACTGTTTGTCGCGTGTCCTCTGCGTGTGCAGAATTTCATTTTTAACGCTTGCCATCCTGTTTGGAATGTGAGTTTATTGAGACAGTTTATGATAAAATAATTGTAGTCATTTTTGGACACATGTTTCGAGTTCATTTCAGATGTATCTTAATGACTTAATTATTTGTTAACTCAAATTTTGTAAACTAAAATTAAAAATTGGAATTGAAAAAAATATGCAAGTCTGACTGAGAAATGAAATAATTAATTTGGAGATTCTTTTATTTACAAATAACCATAGCTTGATTTTTTGGGAAGCTGTGGAAAATCCCATACAGACAAAATAATGTAAAATTTAAATATGTATTTAATCGATATTCTTCGATTAACTGGTGGAAAGAGAAAATGTTCTAAATTTACAAAGGATAAAACGGAAGACGATCAAATTATATTTTCAGCGCTGGTATAAACCTTGCTGATATACTTTTATATGTATTTAAGGATCAAGTTGTTCTCTAAAGTCAATACATATAGCGATTTGTTTGTGGAATTTTGTTTTACAAATCATAATAATAAGTTATCGGCTTATTTCGAAACCAAGCATTATTTATTGTTTTTATAAAAAACACTGTAAAGTACATGCGTAGTAAAAAATTAAATTTTAATAATAGTAGGCATTTTACCATTTATCCCGTAGGCAAACATCATCGAAATATATTTTGAGCTGTTTGATTCAACATATCTTAAAATTTTTGAAAATATATTTAGTTGTTGCGTTTAAATTTTCTTAGAAGTTTTTAATAAATGCATATCTAAAAATATACAAATAAAAATTAATCAGATCACTTTTCAATTTCTTCTGCTAATATGAGAGATAAATCTGAAAATGTTGAAAGCTTTACTGAAAGTATGAAAGGTTTTGAAGGAGTACAAGGTATATTAACTGTGGAGTTTTCAATCCTATAAATAAAATACGTTTTTTTCGATTATGATATTTTTTGTATAAAATTGTATTTATTTTTGCATGTCTTATAAAAAGTTTTAAATTGCTTACAATTTTCTTGTAAGATTTAGATTGAATTAGTTTTTTTTTTTGTTGCGTTCGCAAATGCAAAAAAAAAAATAAATAAATAATATCGCTTATAATTTTTGCTAAAGACAATAATAATCGTAAAATATGGGATACAGATTTTGTTTTTTGTAATTGTATCAAAATTGCTTAAGCTATGAAATTTTTAGTAAGTATTCTGCTTTTGTGGATTTTAACTTTGTTTATTGTTTTACTGTTGGGTTCATTTTTGGTTCGGCGGTTTTGCTTCTTTTTTTATTTTATTGACACTCATTTTATGTTTCTTTGTATATATAAAAATGGTCTGCTTAATAACTATTTTGTACAATGTAGTTGTTGTCTTTGTTGTATTTCATTTGTTACATTTGTTGGTTCTGTACGAATATAATAATTATGTTTAACCATTCAGATTGGATTTGTTGGGTACATTTATATTTTATGCTAGTAGAAATGCTAAAATTTGACATTTAGTTTTTTATACTCGTACTTAGTAATATGTTGCATATGTATATGATAGTGAGTTTAGTGTTGATTTTTGACTGTTTAGTTGTAGACACAGATGCTAATTAGTTGAACGATATACATATCTATATATTTGAAGTTTTTCTCCCAAATTAAAATATGAAAATGAATAAGTCTTGCTGCTACGCCTATTTGAACCAACTTTTACAACCCGAAACCTTTTACATTTGAAACTTAGGATTACAAAATGCTCCAGCTCTCACTTTCTCTCTCTGTCTCTCTCCGTCTCCTACTAACCTCCTCGGCTAAAAATCACTACAAAAATTTGACACCAAAAAGTACCAATAATATTATATCACTTTCAGCAAATCGATGACAAATTTTGAATTTTCTCAAAAATCGTTACAATACAAATATAAAATACACTTTCGTTAGCACGCTTATCAACTCCCACTTCAAACTCGATAAACCCCAAAAATCACAATGCGCTTTGATTGAGCTGCCACCAAAAATAACTGTACAATAATAGCCACAGTTCTATATATAGTCTTGCGTCTCCAACCCAAATCTAATCTCTCTTAGCATTCGCATCAGTCACATCTCCATCTCCATCTTCATCTCCATCTCCAACTCCAGTCTCTCTGTCTCCCTCGGCTGCAGTTGCATCTGCATCGCTTGCTCCGCTGCTGATCTCGAATGAGATTTGTATAACGGTCGCCCGGCGTTGGGTGGGATTATAGCTGTAGAGTCTCAAGGCGTAGCAGAAGATTTGCGCCAACAGCTCCCAGCACCCAAACTCGGACATGGAAATGGCACCCTGCTCGCTGCCCAGCGGCACCGAAATGTTGGCGCGAAATTGCGTACGTTGTTGCTGTTGTTGTTGTTGTTGCTGCTGTTGTTGTTGCTGTTGCCTGGACTCGGTCTGTCTGTGATTGGATGAGCTATTTGTGCCGTCGGCAGCTGCTGCATGTTGCGCACTTTGTTGCCTACTTCTGGCCAAAAGTTGCGCCTGATCGGGTATAAAGTAAGCGATTGCCATTTTGTCTCTTAATCTTTTGTATTTATTAAAACACGAAAAATGTGTCACTTATTGCACTTGGTTTGTCTATTTGCAATGCACTGTTAAATGTTTTTTCACATTTGTGTGAGCTTTTTAATAATTGCACAGTTTGGCGCCAAAACAAAAACTGTGCACTTTTTACGATAAACTGAAATATACGTAAACTTTTGCTGTGTGCACGCTGCTCTGGCTTATGTTGTTGCCTTATCAAAGGTTCTGTGTGGACTGACTGTAAATATCCTTGCCGCAGTCACTTTTATAAAATAGCTGCGCTGCCAGCAACGACGACGACAACGTCGCTCGTGCTTCCTAGGAAGCAACACGGCGCTCGCCTCGGCCAAATGTCACCACCCCAGAAGTAAGAGTCGTGGTGGTGGTTGGATGGAGTGTGTGTGCTTTGTTTATGCCAGCAACCAACCAATTGAGCCACCAAAGGCAGCCACTCACACCACTCTTCCACGGTGATGTTGAGGTTGACGGTGGGCACAGTTCCGTTGCCACCCCAAAAGTTACAGTCACGACCGGGCTTTCTCGAGAGAAAGAGACTAAGCCAGCGAGAGAGAGAGAGAGAGCGAGCGTTCGCCTAAGAGAGTGCCTTACGTCAGACGTAAAGTAACGTAAGTGGCTGAAGTAACGTAAGCAGAGGGTGGTAAATTCGATTTTCGAAGAGGGGTGTTTCTCGTGTATTTTGTGCTCTATGCGTTTGTACGGCACTCAAATGAGGGGCACTTATTCGAAGTTCGAATGTATTTCGAATACTTTGTAAGTGATTTGGGAATCAACAATTGTTTGCTGCCTGCAATTTCCCCTTGAGCTTTCCTAACAGTATTTCGGCACATTGAATATTGCTTTGTTATATTGCTCTATTGTTAAGACAATTATTTTAAATCTATTTATTTTTTATTAAGACTAAATAAGGTATACAGATTTTAATACAATTAAAAATAAAAATGTTCAATACGTGGAAACTTATTTCATTTAATTGCAAATATGTTTTAATAATTATTTTAAAAATAAAGTTTAAAACTTCATAACTTGTTTTATTTAATTCCAAATATGCTTTAAGCTCCTTAAATTTTTTTGTCGATGATTGTGGTAACTTAAGTGTTAAGCAGTACCCAACCACCTTCAACTTAACATCCATTAAGGGGTTTTTTTTTACCCGTAAGGATTTACTTTTGAGTTGGTGCTCCCAAACCTTCAACTTGGCTCTCATTTTCAAACCAACCCAAGTCAATGGGAGTCCGACTTTAACCTTGAAACAAACAGTTCCGGCTCTAGCAAACATTTCCCACAGAAGCTGTCGCTGGCCTTGAGGTCCCCCTTATTACATAGCTGGCTCATCCATTATGATAAACCACTTTCTGTTAGTTTGCAGTCCACACACACACACACTAAAACACACATTGCAACAAATGCCAATCGGAGTTGTTACAATTTTAAGCAAGAATGGGGAACAGCTAACTGCGAGGGTACCAAAGATTAAATACCCTAATAAACATTTTAAAAAAGTTTTTAAGATTTGTAACTTAAAGACAATAAGCTCAATTACAATTGCTCAGTTCAATAACAATAATGTGATGGAGTCTTTGAGCTTTAATCATTAAAAGTATTTATGATTTTCATATTCATTTCAGAATTACGTTATACATAATTCGGAATTAAAAATATAAATTATTTCTACTAATTTATACATATAAAAAAATTAAATATTATATTTATTTTAAATATGTTTATCGCCGTCACCAGGTCAAGTGTTTTTTTTTTCAATTTATTGAATTAATTATTATTTGCTGTACAAGCTACAAACAAAAATTGGAATACCCGCTGTGAGTGTAATATAAAAAGTAACCAAACAAGCTTCTTGCCGCTTGTAGCATGTTGCTAGGGGCACCCCACGTTTCAAGGCCAGGGCCAAGGCCAAGTGGCTGCCATTTCTGTGCTAAATGGCACATAACAAATTCGCCTCCTACAAAAGCTTTGCTGAATTTGTTTCAAGGCCACGCCGGCCGGCAACAGGCAGCACTTCTCTTCTCTTCCCTTCTTTTCTCTTTTCTTTTCTTCTTCCTTCTTTTTTGTATATTTTGTTTGGCGCTTTTGTGCGTGTGGCCTTGACAGTAAAAGTCGTTTAGGGAGCCGCTCCCCAAGCTGGGCGGTGCTTGTGTGGCTCTGAACATTTGGCTTTGACACAGTTGGCAGCACGTGCTTTTTATGCGAGTACACAAAGCTTTCAAGGTCGTTTGGGTATTGATTAAATGAGCAGAGAGTTTTGTGCGTGAGGCAAAGTCATAAAGTTTATGATTGCAAATGGGTAAAAATTCAGAATTTAACTTAAGCCTTTAATACTTTAATATGGCGTGTAACTTTAGGTGTAAGTTGAGGTGCATTAAAAAAAGCAAACTTGTGCTCTCATTTTTTAAGCACTTCAAAAATGTAAAGTTGATTATTAGCTTTAATCAGTTGGCAAGTGAATAAGCGCAGCTCACAGTCCAATGGCAACTGCATCCCAAACTTGTTGCAACTTGCAACGCTTATCAGCAATAAGCAGCAGCCACAGCTGCCAACTGCACTTGAAGCTCATTAAAAATGTACAGCAGCCAAGTTGGCAGTTATTTGCCGAAGCGACGGGAAAATGCATTAAAAACTGCGCTGAAAACCTGCCACACGGCAATGAAATGCAAAAGTGCACTTTACACATTTGTGCGTAATGATTTTCCATTAACGTAAATTTGAATTAACAGCGGAATGGAGAGTATAAACGTAATTACAAGAATGCCAATGTTGAAACAACACGTGCCGCCCACACTGCCCCCCATCGAACCACCGAACCACCGGGCCATTCGGTGCTCAGGCATTTGATAAATGCCAATGGCATTAACTGCCCCGGCCCCTGCCCTGCCACTGAATCCTCTTGCTACATGCTGTGTCACACAAAATGATGCGGCTGCTGACGTGGACTTCACTCCGGCATTTTTGGTAGGGATTCTCCTGCCACCTTCTGGCTGCTGTTTATGGTAATTATTTATTTTGGACAGCCGTTGCAGCATTTGTTGTAGACTTTTCATCATTGCCATAAACATAAAATTTTATGTTAATGATACTGTCTTGTGTTGTGTTTTGTTGCTTTTATTATTGTCGCTATCTGTTTCACATTGCATTTGTTGCTCTGCTAGTGGGAGGGCTCCCAGTTGGAGCAGTCAGTGCATCTGCAATAAGGTGAGAAGTGGAAACTTCTCATTTAATGTTCATTGGCACTTTTGGGGCTTAGACAAAAGTCTTCATCGATTGCGACAAGAAGCAGGATAATCGCATAGGGCAAGGTCTGTTAGCAAAGTAAGAATTTTGAATGTCTCGAGAGTTTGCAATTGTAAGTTTTAAAGGTTGCTAATAATTGAAGTACATTTTTGAAAATACTTTATTTTAATTTGCTGGTGCATCCCTTAAACCCAAGCAATTGTTAACAAAAATCATGGAGTTTTTATGTTTAATTGAAAATAATATAAGCATCTAAAAAATATCAACAATAAAAACCACGATAATAAAAATTCATTTATTCTTAACATCATTTTAATCTCAACAAGTCCCACTTTTCTTAAACTAAGTCTGCGGAATTTGGAAGAATGAGTCCTTGCGTATGCAAATCAAGCATCTAAGTTTTGTTTTTAAATCGACATGCAGTCAAATTCATTACTGAAAATTGAAAGTAAATGTAAAATTCACATTTTTAAAATTGTTATTCGATACTTAAATGTTTCCTACATGTCTCTGGTGAGCATGTTGTGCTTGATAAAATCACGCGATAGAATTGTGGAAATTTTGTTTCTGATCAAAAACACAGCCATTTAAATCAGGTCAATCAGGTACTGCGGTCTGTAATGGGTTAAGTTTTTATTCAAAACACTATTCACTAATGATTTATGAACAATACAGTGTGTATTAAATCATCTATAAAACTGAACATATTAACTCTCTATTTCCTTATATATTCTAATGCTAATTAAAGCTTAATAATAGCAACTTAAGGGAATACTTAATTAATCCAAAGCAATTTTCAACATTTTAAAATTGTCTGAGGTCCATTTGTATAAAATCTTCATATTATTAAATAACCTTTGTAATGACTAAAGATATATTTTTGTACGATATTTAATTAATATAATAAAAATAATCCTTGACCATTCTCAAGGGATAATCCATATAAAATATCAAGCTAAGTACTACAGCTAAATATTTTAAAAAGTCAGATATTATATAATCCTTATGGTATTCATTCGATTTCATCTTGCTGGTTGCCAAGTGATTTGAATTCGTATCGAGACAGATGTTCTTCAAATGCATGTTCATCAGCCCACAATTTATTATTGCCACATTCATCATTGCGTTGTGTGATGAACACCATGAAGTATGGGGTTATAATTTCAGATATCAAGAAATTTCATTCGGTTGCAACTTTTACCCAGAGCAGGGCAAGCAATATCCCTTACTCCACACATATGCTAGCAACACTTGAGCCCCTCGGCTCGAGACCTAAAGAGTCCCAATTGTGCCGCTGCTGTGTGTAACTACTTAAGCCTCATCATCCGCGTTTTAATGCCCATCAACCAATACCAGTGCATCGACATTGTGCTCAGCTCTACAAGGACCACAACTTTCCAACACACACACACACACACATACAGCAACACACACTTTCACTGTGCTGTGCAATTATTTCATGCATTGTTCAAGGATTGTTCGACTGCTTTTTGCAAAAATTTTCTTTGTATAACGTGGAAGGCAGAAGTGTTGTCAGGGGATTTACGCGCTCACAATGAAGAGGCCAGCAATAGGACCAGGGCCAGAACGAACAGAGCAGTAGTAGTGGGAGGAGTTGCAGGTCCTCGCCCACAACCAACGGAAATGGCAACAATGCGCGCCGGCCTGTCCAAAACGGAAAACAATTGACCAAGGGATGGGGCCCCGAGGATTACGCATCAGTT